CGCACCTCTGACACCACGTGGGGTCCTGGCGGCGCCCCACCGCTGCGGACACTCCCAGGTCACGCGGTTGCTGTTCCGGTCCAGGCAGCCAACTCGCGGCCCGTCCTGTCCACACACCTGGGTGAAGAGGGTGTCGCTGCGGCACCGACTCTAGAAAGGCCGTTGCCTGCGTCCGTCTGGGAAGCGGTGAGGCCTCGGGGACCGAGTCTGACATCTGGGGACTCGGACTTGGCTGTCCCTGGCATGTTGCTCCTTTCTCTTCCCTCAGAGCAGCTCCAGGCCCGCCTGGCCAGCATGGCGTTCGAGTGACGACAGCCCAGCAGAAATAGGACCTGGAAATTCAAGCTTGACTCTGGTCCAGCCACTTGCATTCTCTGGTTGGACTGACAGGGTCTTGGATGATAAAGACAATGACCACTGGAGGGAGTCCATTGCTCGCTGAGACCCCTGTGGCAGATCAGGTGGGACAAAGTGGGGAACATAATGGGTCCCCGTCATTTTATAAAAAGGCCCTGGCCGGTGTGGCTCAGTGGATAGAGCATCAGCCTGCGGACTGAAGGGTCCCGGGTTCAATTCTGGCCAAGGGCACAGGCCCGGGTTGTGGACTCAATCCCCAGTGTGGGGCATGCAGGAGGCAGCCGACAATTCTCTCTCATCACTGATGTTTCTCGCTCTCTTACCCTCTCCCTTCCTCTTTGAAATCAATAAAAATGTTTAAACAAAACATGTCCTTGCTCCCCTTGCAAATGACCCTTCCAAACAAGAGGTTTGGGTTTGAGAAAGGGAAACCTGGGGACATTTAAAGCGGACGTCTTAGCTGCCCTGATTCTGGAGCCGGAGAAGCGACGTTGGCACCTTCGTAGGAAACCGCTCTGATCCCAGGAGCAGGGAGGGAGGGGCACGCATCACTCACGCTGGTGCAGCCCGTCTGGCCGAAGGCCCCGCGGGGCAGGGTGGAGGTTAATACTGCAGGCTGGGTTCCCTGAGCTCCGGGAAGTGCTGTGGGTGACACTGATCACACTGCCGTGAGGCACACTGGACTGGCTTGGCCTGGCCCGGCTGCTCATGGAGAGGTGCACTCCTGGGGAAGTTGCCGGAAGCCGAGGCGCTATAGAAACGAGGGGGGGCGGGGGGTGTTGGGGGTTACTGCTGTGGGTCTCTCACCTTTGTCAGATGTCTGGTGACCTGTGGGCTCAGACGATACCTGTCTTTGCTCTGAACTCTTTCCAAGGTGTTTGTGGAGCCGACTTGGAAGACAGCGCTAGGGCGCCCCCTGGGGCAGGCCAGGTGTTCCTGCAGCCTCGGGGGTCAGAGACGAGGCCCGCCTTCAGGGGAGGGCGGGCATACTACCTGCCCAGTGGCCAGTGCTTTATCTTTTGTCTCTCCCTGGGACTACTGCGTGTGAGGGAGCCACGCAGCCTCTGCGCTCTGTCCCGGGGGAGCTGCGGCTGGGGAATCGCGGCAGGAAATGCCGGCACCCCAGCTGCTGCTGTTGCTGTGACGGGCTATCCTCACCCTGACCCAGGGCTGTCCTGTCTTCCGTCAGCGTACGTGACAGAGGCTGGCTCACGTGCCAGCTTGCAAACCGAATGGCCTGTTGGACTCTCCCCAGTCCTTCCTTTAATTTCTTTCCAAAATATTCTGTAGTTTTCATTGTCCATGTCTTTTACTCCCTTGGGTAATTCCTAAGTATTGTATTCCTTTTGGTGCTATTGTAAGTGAAATTGTTTTCTTAATCTCCTTTTCAGATTGTTTCCTGTTAGTGTACAGAAAGACAACTGGCTTTTGTGTGTGGACGCCCGCTGTCTTGTGAACTCATCTATTAGTTCTGGTCCCACTTTCGACACTGGGGTCTGGACCAGTCGGGGTCCAACCAGAGAAGCAGAAACAGTAGACTCTGTATATTGAGAGATTTATTGCAAGGAATCGATTTAGATGATTATGGGGCTGGACAGAGGAGTCTGACACCTGTAGAGCCCGCCGCCAGGCAGGGCAAAGCTGGACTCTCAGGCCCGGGAAGCTGCTGCCTCAGGCAGAACCTCTGCTCGCAGGCCCTGTGCGGACTGCATCGGCTGCCAGGGTTATTAGGGTAATCCCACCCGCTCCGTTAACTGGTTATGGTGACTGCATCGGGCCGCCAGGGTTATTAGGGTAATCCCACCCGCTCCGTTAACTGGTTATGGTGACTGCATTGGCCGCCAGGGTTATCTAGGGTAATCCCACCCGCTCCGTTAACTGGTTATGGACGTTAATCACACCTACAAAACACCTTCCCAGCAACGCCCAGGTGGTGCCTGATGAAATAACTAGGGCAGTGGTTCTCAACCTTCCTAATGCCGCGACCCTTTAATACAGTTCCTCATGTTGTGGTGACCCCCACCCATAAAATTATTTTTGTTGTTACTTCATAACTGTAATTTTGCTACTGTTATGAATCATCATGTAAATATCTGATGTGCAGGATGTATTTAGGCGACCCCTGTGAAAGGGTCATTTGACTCCCAAAGGGGTCGCGACCCACAGGTTGAGAACCGCTGGTCTAGAGACTGCAGCCTAACCAACTTGACACATACAATGGCCTTCCTCCCGCCCGCCCAGGGCCATCCAGGGGCTCCGGGTCGGCCTCGCCCTCTCCTGCTGGTACACACCCCCCCTCGCTGGCCCTGGAGTGGCTGAGTCTAAATGGAGGGGTGGGGAGCCCCGGGACGGGGGCAGCTCGCCTGTCTAACTTCAAATCAACCCGCACAGCCCGGGCCTGGGATATGTTTACACGGAGGCAAAGGTCACACACAGAAAACTAACCAGATTGAAGCCACGATTCCTCGTCATGTAGTGCCATCGCCTCTATCCAGCCCCAGACAGTCATCACCTCAGAAGGAAAGCCTGTAGCCGTTAAGCAGTCACCCCTCATTCTACCCTCAGCATCGGGACGTGTAAGAATCGATGTGGACAGCAATCGATGTGATCAGGGCACCATTAGGAACGGTCACACCGCCGACCCGCCGCGGGCAGGGGCGCCCTCCGGACGGGCAGGGCCGAGGGCCGGCTACTCCCGCACGATGTGGGGGCGGTAGTCGGGTTGGACGGCTTCCGCCAGCTCCCGCGCGTACATGTCGTATCTGCCGGTCATCTGAAAGCCAAGCAGGTGCCTCAGGGGTGCCGGTTTATAAAGGCCCGCGCCCGCGCCGCCGCCTCCCGCCACTAGAGGACAGGCAGGGGACAGGAGTGGGACAGGAAGGCTGGTCTGCAGGACAATCCGTTTCAGATGGTAAGACAGACACACCCCGCCTGACCTCCCGGCACTGACTCTGACTCTGGGGCTGCCGTGACGATCACCGATGCCAACGTGGCCCACACACCCCGGCCCCTCCTTCCTGTCCATCCAGAAGCTGTGACCTGCGCTGAGGCTGGAAGGGGGACGGCCTGTGGCCTTGCAGACCCCAGGAGAGCAGCCCACACCCCGGGGCGCCAGCCAGGCTCTGGGTCTGGGGGTCCGTCCCTCCTCACGGCACCTCATTGTGGATGCAGATGGAGGCTGGGAGGTGGTGGGTGGGCCTGGAAAGCCCACATGGAGCGCTTACACCCTAGCCTGGACCGGAAGGAGCCCGTGCCCATTAGCACAGCCTGGGAAACCTGCTTTCAAAGAGTTACTAGTGAGCAAACATTCTCTATTGGTCCCAGCTGCTAATTGGCAGATGCCTCCATTCACCTGAACCTCCCAGGACACGGACAGGCGGGCCGGGAGGCGGCCCGTGGGCAGTGCCTTGTCTGCGAGGATCTGAGACCCGGGGAAATGCCCGGGACCCAGGCGCAAACCAATGGGAGCCCTCGTCTGGCTGGACCCAGAGCCCTGGCTCCTGGACACGCTGGGCAGTCGTTCAGGCATGACAATGGGCATTCGCTTGCACGTATGATTTGCCTACAAGTGGTGCTGAGTCAGTGAAAACACTGCCCGGCGCTGATTCAGCGATCTCCGCGTGCATCCACGGTGACATGCCACCCTCCGCGGGGACCCGGCCATTGCTGCCACTGCCCCCGGCCAGGAGCGGGGGCACCTACACGCCTCTCCTGATCCCTGGGGTCACAGGTATTAGGTGTCTGTGCTCGGGGCATGCACGCTAAGCCCCTCATTTTACACATGAAAGCACCGAGGCCCGGGAACAGAGGGGGCTGCAGGGACTGAGCGAGGACGTGGCCAAGCTGGGCCTGGACTGCTTTCTCCCCGCGACCAGCTTCCCTCCCTGTCCAGGCCTGGACCGTGGGGCCTGGCCACGGGCAGAGCCAGACGCGCGCATTTATCTTGTGATAAAGTGCAAATGCCTGGGAAGGGGAAGGGAGCGGAGGAGCTAATCCGTTCTATTCCTCGGACAAATTAAATTGAGATTAATTTGTTCGAAGGCGCCCAGATGTAAATCAGATGAGAGGAGGGTGTGCTGAGGCCTGCTGCCTGGGCGCCTTTCACCGCAGGGTTGCTCCATGCGAACAGCCCCGCTGGGCGGGCAGGGCCGGCAGGAGGCGGGGACCAGCCCGGGGTCCACGCAGGGCCCCCCGTGGGCTGTCCCCCAGGGCCGCCCCGCAGCTGCGGTGCACAGCCCCGGGAGCAGGATGGGACTCCAGCCGGGCACTCGGGGACCCACCTTGAAGTTCCAGACGTCATTCACCTGCCGGCACAGGTTGAGGTTGAGCTCGGCCACCAGCAGCCCGTCCCGGGTGCGGGAGAGCCCAGGCGTGCGGCTGCTGTCCGGGGCAGCCACGTAGCTGGAGCCGTAGAAGTAGCCGAAGTCCTTGTGAGCTGGGAAGGAGCAAGGAGGGCGCCGTGAGTTCGCGGGCGGACACCCGGGCCCTGGGACCGCACGCCCTCCCCGGCTCTGCCAAATGTCGAGGCCCCAGGACCTGCCTCCCCCCTCGGCCCTGAGGGCTGCAAAGCTACCCTCCCAGCCCCCCCTCTGCCTCTGGGACCGGGATCGTGTCCCCTCCGCGTCCCCTGCAGAGTGTCGGCCCTTTGCTCCCACCCTCAGCCGCCCACAGCCCACGGAGCCGCCCACAGCCCACGGAGCAGAGGGCTCTGCAGGGCTTCCTGTGTGGCCACTTCCTGTGGCAGCCGTCACCGGTGCCCTCGCTCCCCGCCCTGGCCCCCTGGAAAGTGGGCTGACAGCCGCCCCACAGGCCTGCCAGAAGCAGGTGGGGGAGAGCAGGGGCCCGCAGGGACCAGGGCAGAGCAGGTCCAGGGCCCT